TCTTTCCCTGAACCCAGAGTTGCTGACCCTCTGCTGAAACAGGAAACTTGGGAATCAGCCGAATGCTCAGAAACCTCAACCATCCCAGCTCCAAGAAGACGCTTCTGTGCTGGGCCCGGGAATTCCCGGAGATCTCCATGTACAAGGAGGAGCTGCCCTGTCTTCAATGAGTCAGGACAGCCTGGGGCTGCTGGAAGAATCTTTGGGTGCAGGGGGTCCCATGAGAAGCCAAATGGCTTGGGACATCCTCTCTCTCGAATGACTTTGTTGATCAAAGCAGCTGCCTTCACCTTGGCAGGAGGGGAAAAAAGCTAGAGGGCTGGTTTTCTAGTTCCTTCTGCTTCCCTACTGCACGGAAATGTTACCTCTGCCACCAGATCTATCTTACTCCTGAGATCCTAATTCCGCCTCCAGAACTGTGCCCTGGCTCAGCCCAGGCCACATGGTAGCAGAGAACTCTGGTATTAAGAGGGGCCTGGGGGCGACGTGGAAGCCAGGGGGTCCTGATCCACCAACCCACCATCTGCACACCAGCTCCATGACTGGGGTTGCAGGAGGGTAAAGTGCAGATTCTGAGGGACCCCAGCCAGGGCCAACCACTGCACTGACACCCCAAGTCAGTGCATAGGCGTAGTCTTGGAGGCCCCTGGGTTATGGAGTCCTTTCTGTCCAGCTCTCACTCTCTCTTTTCCTTCTTTGCCCCACCCCATCCTCTTCTGGTCATCCCCCTACCACCAAAAATCTGCCTCTGCCCTGCTGGGGTCCTTGGGGACCAGAGTGACCACTGACCCCTCATTCTGTAGCTTTAAGGGAGATGCTCACAGGGTATTTTTGTCTACCTCACGTATATAGCTTTTAGGACAAAGGAAACTAATTTATATAGCTAAGATATATGAGAAAGTATTTATGTTATTTATGTTTCTATAGTTCATGGGTAGCACACGTGAGGTTTGTGTGTTTCCCGGGGAGCTCACTGAGCTGGAGGAGGCCAGGTGGCTGGGGAGGAGGCCAGTGGGCTCCCGCGTCCATGTGATCGGTCTGTCTTAGGGCTGGTGGGCATGCTCTGCCTCTGTGATGAGCCCTGGTGGGTCAATCCAGATCCTCCTTATGAAGTCTTTATAGATTCTTTGTTCTTTTGGGTTCCAGCCACTCCTCCAACCTCTGCTCTGGCAAAAGTGTCTTGCTCAAAATAATAATGACGACAAGGATGATCCCACCTGGCATTTGTAAAGCACTTTCAGTGTTCAGAGATACTTATCCCTTTCGTCTCACTGATTTCCCGCTTATCCTGGTGAGGTGGGTGAGGCCATATCACTGTGCCCATTTTACAGACAAAACCCAGAGGTGGAGGGCTGTGTCCAAAGTCATACTGAAGAGGTGTGTTCAATGTACATTTGTCGAACATCTTCATGGACCGGGCATGATGGAAGCTGACCTACCCTAGCTTGGGAGCCCCGGAGCCTGGATACCACCTGGAGGCCAAGAGCTCAGAAGCGGCCTCTTCCCTGGCTGTGTGGGGCCCTACCCTTTAGGATCATGATGGGATGTCAGCATTTCCTCCAAGCGGAGTCCCATGTCTCAGGGACTGGGATTGCCTGAGGGGCCTGGAGACATGAAGACTGTTCAGAGGCCCCTCCCAGTAGACCTTCTGCCCACGATGCCTGAAGGGATTGGGCCACACCACGTGCCCCGCCAGTCCACGGATGAGTTTTGCTTGCTCTTTTTTGTGTTTTTCTTTAAAAAAAAAAAAAA